ATACTATATATATATATATATATATATATATATATATATATATATATATATATATATATATATATATACACACACACACCAATACGTATACACACACCAAGGGTTTTAAAATGTTATACTTATAAGAAGCACATGGGATCTTTAAAGGAGAGAAGGCAAAAATGCTGCATTTATTGAGAATACAGCAGTTAGCATATGCTTTTCAACACACACACACAGACACACACACCATGCACCCAGTCCTGCCAGTTGATGTTTATAGTTACCAGTCCAGAGTCTGGATCAATCTAGTGGCCAGCCAGCTTGGTCACAGATGGGAGCTGGGCTCTGTCGATCGTGATCTGATGCTCTTGGAGTATGGCAAGACAAACCCAAAGTCCCCGAGCAAAGCACCCTGTTCTTATAGTCCTTGTTCTCTGTTGAAGTCTATGGATTTTGCTTTGTCAGTTTATGACCTGTTACTCCTTTGTATCAGTGGTATCTTTTGATGTAAACATTCCAATACCCCTCTGAGAGGGTCATCCTGTCCTGGTTTTGATTTAATCAATTGTCCTGTCCCTAGGGGTACTAGCCGTTACCTCAGGGTCGTCAATCTGCCCTTCCTTAATTATGAATGCGCACTGATGGTTTTCTGATGTCATTAAGTCTCTTTGCTCCTTCTTCCTTGACCATCTGGCTATAACAATGGCCTTCATACCTTATCTTTTCCTGATGCATACATTCCTCATTCACACAAACAATCTTTTACAGAGACCTTCAAAGGTATACAGCAGTTTTTATGTTGAGCAAGAAAAGGACCGGGGGGGGAAAGGAGGGATAAAAGCAAATGGCAAACATTGTAATGGAGGTGCAGTAATTGGCAATTAAATATCCATGTTCTGGAGATGCTCTAGTCTAAGGTGCTCATGTTTTGGAAAGAAGTAATTAAGAAGGAGGTGATACATAGAATCAGCCTGACCCTGAGCCATAATATTCCTGTTAAACTTCAAGAGATGAAGTTATGCATCCGAAGAAGTGGGCTGTAGTCCACGAAAGCTTATGCTCTAATAAATTTGTTAGTCTCTAAGGTGCCACAAGTATTCCTGTTCTTTTTGTGGATACAGACTAACACGGCTGCTACTCTGAAACCTTTCAAGAGATGAGTATACTCATTTCATTAACAGCAGCACTTGAATAAAAATTAAAGCTAAGAACAAATTTAGTAACTATAGAATTGATCTAGTTCCCATGAAAATGAAAAAAAAAAAACCAAAAAAACCCCCCAAAAACAACCCTTGACATTAATGGGAGCTGGAACTGGTCTTTTAAGATAACTGCTAATCTAGAGGTAGAAATAACCTGGAAGTCTGAATATCACTGAATGACAAATATAGAAATGTTCTTACCTGTATGTTTCTAATGATATTGTGATCTTCTGGTAACTCAGGGTTAATTGCAATAACAATATCCTCATAGCCACCATTTTTCAGCTGTACCCTAGAACCTTTCACCACAGGTACTAGAAATAAAAGAACCAAGCTCTTAAACACCCTCATTGTCCCGTTCCCCACAATTTTTTGTTATAAAAATGATGGCACAGCAGCGCTATTTATACAATTGCTTATTTACACAGAAGCAGGGCTGTCCTTAGCCATAGGGCGCACCCCTGTCTCCACCTCTCCACTCACCCCTCCGGCAGGGCTTGGTTGGGTAAAGCTGCTGGGGGGCGGGGGGGCTGGCTGGCTGCGGGCCAAGGAAGTGAAACTGAAAGTGACTCACTTCCTCGGCAGCCAGTCCAAGCAACAGGGGCTGGATTGGAATGCTCACACACTGCTGGCTGGGCTGGGGATAGGGTGACCAGATAGCATGTGTGAAAAATCAGGAGAGGGGGTTGGGGTAGGATGATCAGATGTCCCACTTTTATAGGGCCAGTTCCAATTTTGGGGTCTTTTTCTTATATAAGCTCCTATTACCCCCCACCCCTGTCCTGATTCTTCACAGTTGCTGTCTGGTCACCCTAGGTGGGGGGTAATTGGTGCCTATATAAGACAAAGCCACAAATATTGGGACTGGCCCTATAAAATCAGGACATCTGGTCATCCTAGCTGGGGAGGGCATCTTTCCCCCGGGCTGGCAGCGATTCATCTCATCCGGAGGGAGCTGCACAGGGCTGGATGAGCTGCTCTGGCTCCGTAGGTGCCCCATCCCTGAGATCAGATGCTGTGCTAACTTCACCATGGTCCATGGTGCTGGTGGTGGTGCCCAGTGGAGTGTGATTGGACCTGAGGGTTTGCTGCTGCTGTTGCCACTCTGCACCCCAAGAGGTGGATTTTGGGGTCCTGCCGCTTTCCACCTATATCCTCCTCTACCGCAGCTGTTGGACCAGCAGGCTGGGGGTGAGCCAAGCATGAAAGCAGTACTGTGTTGTCATTTAGATTGTCATTTAACAACTTTGTTTGCCAAAAATGCTTGCTAACAATCCTGAATCCAATTTCAATATATATATATTTTTAAAACCAATATCTTAGCCAAAAACAGAAAATTAAGTTGTTGACAATTATTTGTGACAAGTTTGGTTTGGGGCAGGGAGTGGGCCAGTTTTCATTAGAGGAACAAAAAATGTTGACTGGCTTTCCTATAGCCCTGTTACTGCTAAATAGAGCCTCCCAACAACTGTAATATGCTCATCCCCTTACTACTGTATATAGCAGGGGTAGGCAACCTATGGCACGCACGCCAAAGGTGGCATGTGAGCTGATTTTCAATGACACTCACATTGTCAGTGAGTCCTGGCCACTGGTCCGGGGGCTCTGCATTTTAATTTAATTTTAAATGAAACTCCTTAAACATTTTAAAAACCTCATTTACTTTACATACAACAATAGTTTAGTTATATATTATAGACTTATAGAAAGAGATCTCCAAAAATATTAAAATGTATTACTGGCATGTGAAACCCTAAATTAGAGTGAATAAATGAAGACTCTGCACACCACTTCTGAAAGGTTGCCGACCCCTGGTGTAGAGTGACCATATGTTGTACTAAGATTCTCTTGCTTTTTTTTCCAGTGAGTCAATATAACTTTTGTCAGCCCAGAGGTTGGGCAGCCAATGTCTTACGTTTTAACAATGTTTTGTCCAACTTCCATAAAGTAAATACATGGTTAATATGAGTTTAAAAGGCCAGGGATACTTCCTTGTGAAGAATCTGTGCAGCAGATCATGCTAGAGCTGTGAAAATGTCCATTTTTGATGGAACTTTAGAGGCAGTGATTTATCATGTATTTCTGTAAGTGCTCAAAATGTGCTGCTAATTGCTAACGTCTTTCCAAACAAAAATAAGGCACACTAGGACTTCTGTAACATTTCTATGCTAGATGAGATGATTCTGTGCTGACTTCATTTTGGTCACTTTGTGCTTTACCTAGGAATAAAACTAGGGTTATGTTTTGCCACTGCTTGGAAACCCAGCTTATTAAACTGGATAATGCCATTGATCTATTTACAGTATAAAGTTGATATAGAGCTGTAACTAACATTAAGACTGATATTAGTTTACATTTAAAACTAAAAAGTGGCTTTGTAAAAATGACATGGTTTTCCAACTCTACTGTGTCTCAGTCAGGGTGGAGCGCCTTGTGAGGTCTCTGCACACTAGCTCAAGGTCACAGGCTCACGGCTATCCTATATTAATTATTTTAAATAATATTTCTGATAATCTGACAATAATTTTAACAGTTATTTCTTTAAAAAACACTCTTATAAGTTATATCGTATCGAAAACAACTTTCCGGGTCACAAAAAAGAAAATGGAAAGATGAAATAGGATTAGCTATACAAACACAGAAGGGTTCTATATTTAAGTTTGCACATCATGAAAACAACGAAGTTGATCAAGATCATCAAGTAACTGCCGAAGAAAATTTTTATGCAGACGAAGCTCAAGAAACGCAACAACACATGGAACAATCATTTGAAACATATGAAGACACAAAACAAGAAATTACAGCAATTGAAACTACTATAGATGACATTGGCACATGACCACAATCTTTAAACAATGAATTATGTTGCATTATACTTGAGAAAGGCCCTGTGAGAATAAAAGGTCTTGAATATCCTCAACACATTAGAGGTAGGAAATTCACAGAAAACAATTACTACAAAAGAATTTCCTAAGGGTGAAATTGTCAACAGACGGTGGCTTGTGTACTCTAAATGCAAGGATGCTGTATTTTGTTTCCCATGCAAGATTTTCAATAGTTGCAATTTTAAGATAGCAACCATAGGTATTAAAGAGTGGAAAAATCTTAGGCACACATTCCCACAACATGAAAAGGCAACACCACATTGAAAATATGCACAAATGTTGTGAGCGGAGTGTAAGGTTAAAAAATCAGACAACTCTTGATGCCCAAAATCAAAGATTACTGGAGCCAGAGAATCAGCATTGGTGTCTTGTTCTTGAACGTCTATTATCTATTGTTGAATATCTATCAACAAACAATCTTCCTTTTAGAAGAAGTGTTGAGAAATTATTCCAGCCCAAAAATGACAATTTTTTGGGCCTTGTACAACTGCTGGGAAAAATTGACACAGTGATGAGTGAACATCTCCGAAGAGTAACTGAAAATAAAATACATGACCACTATTTGGGACCAAAAATTCAAAATGAACTGATCATGCTAATGAATGATAAAGTGAAAGACAAAATTGTTTCATTGATTACTTTGGTAAAATATTTTGCTGTAAATTTAGATTGCATGCCGGACATAAGTCATCAAGAACAGATGTCATTAATAGTGAGATTTGTCGACATTAGTGATTCAGCACAGATTACAGTTAAGGAATCATTTATCACATTTTTAGAAGTAGTGGACACTACAGGTTTTGGACTTCTTCAAGCTCTCCTTGATGAACTAAAATGAATGGGATTGTCCGTAATGAATATTAGAGAACAAGGCTATGATAATGGTACCAATATGAGAGGATGCATTTCTGGTATGCAAGCTAGATTGCTGGCAGAAAATCAATGAACCCTTTTTATTCCGTGTGCATGCCACAGCCTTAATTTGATTGTGTGTGATATGGCCAAGTCTTCTGTAGAAGCTATTTCTTTTTTTGGTTTGCTGCAATGCATTTACGTGCTCTTTTCGGCTTCCACTCAGTGATGGCAAATATTCAAAGCACATGTCAATGATATCACCGTTAAGCCTCTATCTGAGACATGCTGGGAAAGCAGAGTAGAAAATGCAAAAACGTTGAGATATCAATCTGAGGAAGTTTACGAAGCACGGGTTGCTATTTCAGAAGAAGCCAGAGATCCAAAAGCTAAAAGTGAATCACAGTCTTTGGCCTCTGAAATATCCAGCTTCAAGTTTCTAACATCTGTCGTAATCTGGTATGACATTCTCGTTAAAATCTCACGTGTAAGAAAAATAATGCAGAGCCCAATGATGCTGCTTGATTCAACAATTACCCTTACTAAACAACACACAAGACTTTTTAGTGAAATACAGAGAAAATGGATTCAAAGAAGCACAGGTTACAGCGAGAGAGCTTCCACAGGCACTCGATGTAGAACCAAAATTTCCATGTCTGAACATGACACGAGTTTCAAGGAAAAAACGGCAAGCGGAATATGAAGGAGCAGATGAGCCCATAGAGGATCCAGAAAAGAAATTTGAGGTTGAATTTTTTAATGTTGTGATGGATAAAGCAATATCTGCAATTGATGAAAGGTTTAATACCGTACGAGTACACCATGAACAATTTGGATTTTTGTATGACGTAACTAAATTCAACGAAATAGGAAAACAAGAGCAGCAAATGACAAAGTGCAAGAACCTAGAGAGCCTCCTGAAGCACCGTGATAGTTTTGATTTAAATGGACTTGAACTGTACGAAGAATTGACTACATTGTCATCAATGTTGCCACATTCAAAATCGGTGCTATTCTTGCAATCGAATAAGACATCACTTTGTCTTTTTCATACAATGACATTATTATTGATTTCGCAGCCAAAAAAGCCAGAAAGATTGATTTTAATTAAAAACAAATCCTTGTTTCAATACTTCTTCATAGAAATTTCCAATAAAATTTTGACAAATATAAAAAATTATATTATTTGCATCATTCTGTCAATAAATCAGATTTTTTTCTATAGCGCTACTTCTTTAGTGCAAGTGTAGTCCATCAACATTACAGTGTGCTTAATTAAGTTAAACTGTTTTTAATAAAGTGCATGTGGCAGGTTTTCCAGTACTGTAAGCTTATGGTTGTGTTGCTAAGAACAAGTCTGTCATAGGGCAGAAGCTTTCGTGGGTAAAAAACCCACTTCCTGCATCTGTTAGTCTTTACGGTGCCACCGGAGTCCTCGTTATTTTTATAGTTGAACGGTGATAGCTCTTTACCTGCTTCAACACATTGAGGCTGCGTTCACCTGAAGCCACTGATGCAGGCAAACTGACAAAAATATGCAATGCAATTGTGACATTAGGAAACACCCCAGAGAGTCCAATTTCGAGTATTTCTTGAAGCAATTCCTTTGGCTTGCAATCCAATTTAAAGTTCGTGAAATATATTCATTTGAGGAAGATGACCTCGTCACTGAGATCTTTTGAGATTTCTTTGTTGTACTGTTGCTGAAATTGTTCAGCTGCAGAAAGCAGATCTTCATTACTC